ATGCATGACGTGCAGAACAGGTTTGATCGTGCAATGCAGCTAGATGATCAATAAGAACAACAAGAGTAGGTTAAGATTCTAACCTCAAAACTCGAATCTAACGGTTCAAGCTCCAACGATCAAGCTTGGAAGCTCACTCTCTTACCCAAAGGCTTCACCTCCTTCTTCCTAGAGTCTCTCTCTCTAAAAGCAAGATTTGATACAAAATGATATGTTTTCTCGACAGTCACTGACTTAACCCTCTGCTAGGACACGTGGCATCGGCCGATTGGCTCTACTCAAAAAGGTGACTGACTTGACAAGACAAGACCATGATAAAGTGTGTTCAACAAGCTAGACGGCAAGAACACACCGGCAAGTAACGACATCGGCTAACAACAAGACTCCGGCAATCAAGGGGCAAGGACATCGGCTTAGAAGGACAACACTCGACTAAGCTGTGCCATACCTTGGCCTAGATGTGCCACACCTCGGTCTAGGTCACACCATTCCAGGAACAAAATCGCTAGTGCAAGGATCAAGGATCTAGAACGCCTAGATATTAACATCTCGGCCTAGATGATGCACATCTCGGCCTAGGCGACGCGCACCTCGGCCTAGATGGTGACATCTCGGCCAATATGCCAAGGTGGAGATGGACGTCAACCAAAGGGGTTCCAAGATAGTTCCAAGTGTGGAAAGGTTCTAAGGTGTCCAGGCTCAAGATAACCTCGGCAACACACCAGGCAAGAACAAAGCATGCAAGTAACATTCGAGCAAAACAAGACAAGATTTGCAAATGCATATATCAAAACAAGATCATACATAAATGTATGCAAGTATGACTAAGTTAAAATGAGGGTTGTTACAGCTGCTCTCACAGTAGTCTATACTATCAACCGTGTTCATTCCCCTACCATCAACAATCAAACCCCATATGAGCGTCTGTATGGCACACCTCCTGCCTATATTGGTCTTCGTGTATTTAGATGTGCTTGTTCTGTTCTTCTTCAACCACATGAGTGTACCAAATTAGAACCTCGAACCCTTTATGTTGCTTCTTGGGGTATAGGATTGAAAATAAAGGTTGTCGTTGTTAGGATCCTCTTTCTCGTCATCTTCGTGTCTCTCATCATGTAGTATTTTGGGAACACAAAATGTTCTCCTCTACATCTAAGTTTCATTTGTCCACTCCTCTCACTACACCATTCTTCACAGATCTCTCTCTTCTGTTTGATAAGCTTGATACAGACACTATTTCTGACATGATGACTCTGGCCCATCCTGAGGATTCTGCTCCGCCTCCTGGTCTTGCTGCTCCACTTTTTGATCTTGAGCCAGCTTCTATACCTGCTCCTACTCCATCTCCTAGTCCTATTATCATTCCTTCTCCCAGTAAGCCTCATACATCCCTTGATTCCACTACATTATCTTCTGCACCAAAGGTACCTTTTCGTCATTCTACTCTGGTAACACAACCTTCTATACTTCTCCGTGATTTCATTGTTGGTTCCACTGCTTTTTCTTCTCATGAACCTATTTCCTATCAAGAGGCTTGGTCTAACCCGCTTTGGCAGCAAGCTATGAGTGATGAACTGCAAGCTTTCGATAAAACTCATACCTGGGATGTAGGTGACCTTCCACCTAGCAAGAGTGTTGTTAGTTATAAATGGGTTTACAAGATCAAAACCCACTTTGATGGTTCCATTGAGCGTTATAAAGCTCATCTTATTGCTCGAGGGTTTACTCAAAAATATGGGATTGCTTACGAGGAAACATTTGCTCATGTTGCTCGTCTTACTTCAATTCGTAGCCTACTCACCGTTGATGCTACTCGTCATTGGAGTCTTTGTTAGATGGATGTCAAGAACGCCTTTCTCAATGGCGATCTCACTAAGAAAATTTATATGCAACCTCCTCTTGGTTCCTCAATTCTGTCCACCAAGGTCTGTAAACTCCATCGTGCTTTTTATGGTTTGAAACAAGCTCCCCATGCCTGGTTTGCCAAGTTTAGTTCTACCATTAGTGACTTTGAATTCTCTTCCAGTGCCTATGATTCTGCTCTGTTTATACGAAAGACAGAGCGTGGTGTTATTCTTCTTCTTCTCTATATTGACGATATGATCATCACCGGAGATGACACAGTAGGTATCTCTAGTCTCAAACAGTTCCTCAGTCGCCAGTTTGAGATGAAAGATTTAACTTTGCTTAGTTACTTTCTCGGCTTGGAAATTTCTCATGATTCTTCTAGTTACTTTCTCACCCAGGCCAAGTACACCTCTGATCTCTTGGCTCGTGCTGATCTTACCAATTGCAAGACTGCTCCTACCCCAATTGATCCTCAAACTCATCTCACACCTCTTGATCGTCAGTTGTTGTCTGATGCTACCTTATATCGTCAGCTAGTTGGCAGTCTTGTTTATCTCACAATTACTTGTCCAAACATTGCCTATATTGTTCACATTGTCAGTCAATTCATGGCTGCTCCTCGCTCTCTGCATTATGATACTTCGGTTCGCATTTTGCGCTATCTGAAAGGAACTATGTTTCATGGTTTTCACTACTCAGCACACTCATCTTTACAGTTACACTCATTTTCTAATGCAGATTGGGCAAAGGATCGTATTGATCGCCGTTTCACTACAGGATTCTACTTCTTCTTGGGTGACTCTCTCCTTGCTTGGTGTAGCAAGAAGCAAACTCTTGTTGCTCGTTTTAGTACTAAGACTGAGTATCGTGCTCTTGCTGACACTACTTAGGAGCTTGGGTGGCTTCGCTAGCTTCTTTTGATATGGAGATTTCTCATTCTACTGCGATTAACCTATATTGTGATAATCAGAGTGCTTTCAGATTGCCCATAATGATGTCTTCCATGATTGCACAAAACATATTAAGATTGATTATCACTTCATACGGCAGCATGTTACTAGTGCCATTGTTCATCTTATCTTTGTTATCTCTGCCGATCAGACAACCGATATCTTCACCAAGGCTTATCCTCTTAGTCGTTTCAATGATCTAGTTTCCAAACTCAAGTTGGTTGATACTTACCCACCTTGAGTTTGACGAGGGCTGTTAATTTATATTCTAATTAATGTATATATATATCCTAATTATCCTAATTAATGTATATCATTGTTAATGTATATCATAAATTAGGAATTCAAGTTAGACTAGGATTGTATCACTCTCCTATATATAGGAGCTCTTGTACATGGTTATTCAATTCAATAATACAGATACACAATTTTTCCTTTCTTTCAACCATTCTAACATATAAATCTCAAATATTTTTCTAAATTAAATTACCAAAAAGAAAAAGAAAAAAAAAATCAGAATTCCATCTTCTCCCTTTTTGAGCTTTACCATTATCACATCCAACATACTGTGATCCTCTCCCTCCCAAAGTTGCCCCAAGGAAATTGAGTGGGTCCTTTTAGGAAGGGGAATCCCGAGAGCCTAGTATACCTGTAGCAGAATTTTTTAACGAGGAAATTGCTATTCGGTGTATGTTTTTTTTAAAAAAAGATTACATCAGTGATAAATTTTTGTAAATATTTTGTGAAAAAATCATTGATTTGTTTTGTTTTTTTTTAATCGGCAAAAGTCAGTGATTAATTGTTATACTAGTACTTTTGGGAGTTAAAACTCACACTAATATACCTTGTAAGAAAATCTTATCATCTCAATCTACTCCTAAGAGTGGAACCCAATACCTTCCCATTAGGAGAGACTTGGGGATTGTTTGGCATCCCTTACTTATGATCTAGTTTCCAAACTCAAGTTGGTTGATACTTACCCACCTTGAGTTTGACGAGGGCTGTTAATTTATATTCTAATTAATGTATATATATATCCTAATTATCCTAATTAATGTATATCATTGTTAATGTATATCATAAATTAGGAATTCAAGTTAGACTAGGATTGTATCACTCTCCTATATATAGGAGCTCTTGTACATGGTTATTCAATTCAATAATACAGATACACAATTTTTCCTTTCTTTTAACCATTCTAACATATAAATCTCAAATATTTTTCTAAATTAAATTACCAAAAAAAAAAGAAAAAAAAAATCAGAATTCCATCTTCTCCCTTTTTGAGCTTTATCATTATCACATCCAAAATACTGTGATCCTCTCCCTCCAAAAGTTGCCCCAAGGAAATTGAGTGGGTCCTTTTAGGAAGGGGAATCCCGAGAGCCTAGTATACCTGTAGCAGAATTTTTTTAACGAGGAAATTGCTATTCATAGTATGTTTTTTTAAAAAAAAGATTACATCAGTGATAAATTTTTGTAAATATTTTGTGAAAAAATTATTGATTTTTTTTTTTTTTTAATTGGCGAAAGTCAGTGATTAATTGTTATACTAGTACTTTTGGGAGTTAAAACTCACACTAATATACCTTGTAAGAAAATATTATCATCTCAATCTACTCCTAAGAGTGGAACCCAATCCCTTCCCATTAGGAGAGACTTGGGGTTGCTTGGCATCCCTTACTTAAGCACATCTTTTTATCGTATTTGAGTTACATCACCTTTTATTTGAATCACATTACTTCTCTATCATATTGTATATCTTTTTGTAAAAAATTAAAAAATAAAATACTTATTTAGATCATCCTAAATAATTCATAAGTAACCAAAAGGTTAGCCAACTAAACTAGAGTACTTAGTTGCAATTTTTTCGTTTTTAATCCTTTCATTCATACTGCTAATCCATTACAGAGAACAGCTATTATCACCGTGTATTCTTACCGGCTGATTTGGTATGACAAAAGTGGAAAAATGTTACAGTAAGACACTCTACTATGTAATTTGTTAGGTATTTTTATGATACGTATTATGTATATTTATAGTAAATAGTATATAATTTTTTAGTAGAGGTATTGTTACTTTAAAAATGTTTAATATTATCACAAAAATGCATGTTCATTTTTTAATTAAAAATTATAGTAGTTCTATGAGAAAATTATGTATCATAAAAATATCTAATAAAAGACATACCGTACATACATTGCACAATAAAGAATTCTTACCTGTTTGAAGAAGTTTGGAATGATTGTATATTTGTTTATGCAAAAAATCTAAAGGTCCTAGAATTTGGGATTCATAATGTATTCAAAAATGGATTTGGGTGGCCGAAATTAAATTGATGAAATGTACGGTCCATATATGAAATGAATTTGAGTAATTGGTGTAAAATTCTGGGTAATTTTTGAGTTTTTATATCTGAATCCGTAGAATTACTATTGTTTATGTTTAGGATATATAATTGTAGAGAAAGTCTATGATATCATATACACCCTATCATAAATTGGCGTAATTTTGTTATAAAATTTCATAACATCAATCACAAAATGCATAACATCACTATAAATTAGCGTGACTAAAAATACCATAACCAAACCACAAACTTTTATAATATCAACCACAAAATTTAAACATTTTGTTAAGCTAATTTATGACAAAATTATTAATTTTATAATTAATATTACAAAATTTTATAATAATGTTAATGGGCGTACACCATAGACTTTCCCATAATGATTTTAACCTCATACAACCAATAACTTTATGATACTTGTTAGGGATTTTTATTGACAAATCTCATTTTGGAGTGTTCTAACCCAATAAGTCCATAAAGGAAATTTATAACCTAGTTAGTCCCATATGTTTGTATTTTTATTCCATGAGGTCCTTTTTTCCTAATTTTATATTTTTTTTGAGACTATTATACCCTTATATATTATGTTAATACATAATATACAGAAGAAGAAAAAAAAAAGAAATACATGTTCTTGTTTTATTTTTTAGCGTTATTCACGTTGATGATTCTGATTCAATTAATCAATGTCGATCGTTTATGGTAGGGTTTCATTGTGGTAGGATTTCGGTGTAGTGAAGAGAAGACGACGATGATAGGTTTCTGTCTATAGGTGTGTTCGTTTTCGTAGTTTGGTGTTTGTGTGTGCTCTGGTTTGTTACATAATTGTTGAAGATCAATCATTGATCGGAGGTTGAGAACGATTACAGAAATTTTTTTTTTCTCAAGGTTAGTTTCATTTTGCTTATGAATACATTTTCATTTATGTGAAGAATTGTATGCTCTGTTTTTGAATTATGTGCATTTTCTAAAATACATAGGTAATACAAGTGTATGTTTGATGAATGAGGTTTTAATTTTTTATCGGTAATGCATGTATATTTTTGTTGTTTGAGTTTCGGATATTTGACAGAGATGCATGTACAGTAGTTTGAACAAATTAACTGTGGTGGATCATTGGTGAAAGGTTGTTTTTGGTTGATTGGTCTATTATTTCTTGTTGTTTTGTGATTGTTTTCATAAGATTTTTATGGTATTTGGTGTGTCATCTCTGTTTGATTAGATAATTTAGATTATGTGAACAATATAAATGTTCACATATCATTGGTTATAACGTGATTGTTCACTTCCTTGTTTTTGTATTTTTGCAACAAATGGATACCTTCATGTTGTTGGTGTGCTCATATGGGTTCTTCCATAGGTGTAGTTCAAAACTTTGTTTTTATTGTTTTTTTGTTTTTTATAATTTTTGGGTTTGGAGATTCAAAGATTGTCTTCTTCCATTGTTATGATTCAAAACTTTATTTTCTACCATTGTTGCAATTTCAGCCGAAAATCAAAGGGAGAGAGAAGGATTTGAATCGAAGGAAGACAGCGGATTCGAAACTCAATTATGTATCCAGTCGCTTTTGTTACAAACTTATTCTTTAAATGTGCATTTGGTTTGATTTGGACTAGATTGGTGTAATAGTGAAATTGCATGGATTGTTATTGATAGTGATAATAATGAAGATGAAGATGTGAGTGATGGTTTTTTATTTTTTAAGAGATTGAGATTTGTCAAATTTCTAATTCTATTGCATCCATTGTTTTTGGTTTTTTGTTAACCTCATCACATCATTAATCAGTGTTAATATTCACATTATCTGTAATGAAAATTTGTCATTTGTGTTGTCAATTAGTGTGGATATTCACACATCCATATAATATTGAATAGTGCATATATTTTCACTGTGTTCATTACTACTATGCGACTGTGATGTTAAAGTTCACATCAACCACTGTATTCAGTCATATAACCACAAGCCACAATGTTTATTTAGATACAAAAATTATGTGAATATTCACAATGTAACAAATAGATGTGAAGATTCACATTAATTCTAGTATGTTTGTGGATGGTCATACACTTTATTTATGTACAATGTGAATATTTACATCTGTAGTCAACTATAATAAATATAGGACCTAATGTAATTAAAAATGGGCCTTAACATAAATTACGATATGAACATTCACACCAATTTCAACATAAGAGACCAAATGTGGATGTTCACACTTCATGTTATTTAGAACATTATTTGGTCAACTATCGTTGTGTGTATTCAATATTCTTTTTTGATATGTTTGTGGAAGAATCATACACCTGACATATGTAAAATGTGAATATTAACATCTTTAGTCGATCACAGTAAACATAAGACATATTTTAAATATTCACATTAATTGAAAATGGGCATTAACATAAATTACAATGTGAACATTCACACCAATTTCAATATTCACACTTTATATTATTTAGCACACACAACACATCAATACCAAATATACCATCAAAACATATAGCTGTGTGAGAAGTAGATCATTAATTTATATATATATATATATATATTGTTAGTGTTTTCAACTACAAGTTGTCAAAAAAAAAAAA